AAAGTACCAAACATAACCAGTGTGTTTTAATGTAAAGCTTTTGCTGCCAATAGCCAAGGCTTACGGATTTCAACCTCTTTGAATGGCAAACAAGTTGCACAGAAGCCAGGAAACCAAACCACCAGCAATCAGGCAGAAGAACTGAAAGCACAGCCGTGCATTCAGGTTTACTGTTGCCATCATAGCCACATAGTCTGAAGACGGCAGGTGCTTTGGGAGTACCACCAACCTGCCATCTTCCAGAAATGACCCTTGGTCTGCTCCTGCAGGGCTCTTCTTATGTTCTCATGAATATTCTTACATTTTAAAAAATGTATTTTGAAGTGTCGGGCAGCAACTATGACATGTGCTAATCGTAACACTTTATAATGATTTCTGATTTTACAAATGGTTTTCTTCACAAGCTTGCCAACTCATTTGCTCTTGGTGTTGGAAAACACAAAGAATTTACTGTCCTTTTCATTTTCAGGCAGCTTGACGATAACTACTAGAGTTTTTAATGAAACATAAGAATCTGAGGGCTAGGTTTGCCACCGGATTTCATATTAAACCTTGAAAACGAATTGTCCAATACGGCTGAACAATTCCAGTCATTAGTTGAATCAGGGAAGCTAGAACAGCCTCCTGATGATATGGCTTTTCAACATGAACCATTCATGATTTAAGAACAGGACTAAAACAGGCAACATTAAAGGATTTGTGGCAATGCTCTCTTGACATTCAAACAAGGGTTTATGCTTCTTATTCACACCAAGTTTTCTCTACGAAAATCACGTTTGTGTCAGAATCTGACCTCGTTATTTTAAGTTTGCTGAGGACCTTCTCTACCGAGTCATATGTGAGCATTATTTTTGCCACCAAGGACTGGAATAGGATGTAGGTCCCTGGGAAGAAGATACACTAACAGGGCCTAGTTCAGCAATGCTCTTCCTCTGCCCCAGATGCCTTCAGACAGGGGAACAAGGTAGCAGCAGGTACTTTGCAAGTCATCCATGGAATGCACATAAAGCCCTGTGAAACCTGTTTGGGGTGGGCAGAACGACTGAAATTTAGATCCTAGCCATCATGCTAATGAATTTACCATTCCCAGAGAAGTACTCTGTGTGTGTGTCCTTCAGTTTGGCAAAGAAAAATAAATGTTCTCTTCTTCCTTGGTAACCTAAGTTTCACTAACATTGTTAGGGTTTTAATCTGGATCCTGAGGGAAGAACAGCTTAGATGAAGGCTAAGAAACTGAGACTTAATCTAGACAAGACAAATGTGTTCCTTGACAGCATGCAGAATGAGGAAGACACAGGTCCTCAGCCTGTTTTGGATGGGGTTGTATGCCTCTTAGTTTGAGGGTACTCTCGGAGAGCCAATGTGGCGTAGTAGTTAAGAGCATGGGACTGGGACTCAGGCAACCTGGGTTCTAGTCCCCATTCGGCCATGGAGCCAACTGGGTGACTTTGGGCCAGTCACAGGCTCTCAGCCCAGCCTACCTCACAGGGTGGTGGTTGTTGCGGGGATAAGATGGAGGAGGAGAATGATGTAAGCTGCCTTGAGCCCTTTGTAGGAAAAAGGCAGGATATAAATCAATCAATCAATCAATCAATCAATAAAATTAGGCATTGCACCTGAATGACCAGGTGACAGCAGTGGCCAGGAATGGCTTTGAGATGCTGCAGTTAGTCCAGCAGGTAGTGGCAAGGTTATCAGTTGATGGCATGTCATGTGACCCCATTTTTGCAACATCTGCACCAGTTGCCAATACAATTCTGGAGACAACTCAAAGTGTTGAGTTCACCATTAAAGCCCTAAACAGCTTGGATCCTAGCTGTCTTCAGCCACTTGGTTTCAGTTTGCTAAGAATTTGTTTCACTTAAAGATTTGTTTTAAGTTTCAGGATATCTGCATTGTCTTGTCGCTACATTTATACACTATGATTTTATTGATTCTCCTGCTTTATAGAATATCATAGAACCCCATCTCTTTGATTTGAGAGAAGGAGCCAAGTTGCATTCTCTCATTCACACAGCTCAAAAGCAAACCGCAGCAGAAACAGGCAGACTGCCTGTGAAATATGCTAAGAAACATGACTTCATTACATCAACAGCAGACAATGACAGACATCTTGCTTCTGCCTCAGCAGAACCCTGGGGAGGGAATAACCTCTTCATCTGCTTCATTTCACCCATCAAAGCACACAGGAGCAGAGCACAGATGTGATGATTTGCTACAAGGAATTGCTACAGCAGCACAGATGCCTTGAGGGTCCTCCCAAGACATCCATCACACAGGCAACCAAAACAAAACTATCTGTTTCAGTTTGTATCCCACGATGCTCACAATCAGTTAAAGACTGATCCCATACATGAAAGTAAACTAAAATTAAAACAACAACATCTTGCCTAGAGGATTCATCCTGTTGTACCTGGGCACCAAGATCCTTCCATCAGCCTATTAGGAAGTTAGCAGTTCTTAAAGCAACTGGGAAAGGACCCGAAATCCTCGTTTCCAGAATGCAGCAGTCCGGATAACACACAGGAGGAGACTCCTCTGATCCAGAAATGAGCATTCACCCTTATTTCTGGGCTTGTTCTTAGAAGCAGTAACTCCCCATTGCTCTAGCAGTTGGCCTCACTAGAACAACAGAATGAGCAGGACCACAGAGCATCTTGGACACTGTCCTAGGTATACCATTTATGCCAAATCAATGAGCACAGGGGCTCGGCACACAGGTTTTATCAACCACAGCTGAAATGGGAACCTTCCTCTGGGCCCTTAACTTGAGGACCAGGTCCTACAACCCAGGCTGCTCCTCAGCTGCAGGAGCACACCCACCTAGCAAGGCTAAGTCAGCTTTGCATGACTGGAGGTCTAGATATACCCCCTTGGCCACACATCTGATTATAAAGTCCTGTGTCTTCCTGACATCCAGCTGGTTTATACCCTGTAATTATTTAGTGTTGATTGCTGAAAGGCTTACAGGATTCTGGGAGCTTTGGTCAAGCACACAAAGTCTACTGTCATAAGTTTACTTAAGTTGAAGGATTCATCAAGTAGACTGCTGAAGAAAAATGCTCTTGCAGAAACTATTCCTCTGCTTAAAGGTGGCGAAACTATTGATTCAAGCAACAGGCATTTCCAAAATCTAAAAGCTGTTATTAGTGTGGTTAATTAGGAATGTTAGGCAAGTTGTTTCTCAAAACTGTTCAAATGTGGTTTGATTTAAAAGATGGCCCAGTCAGCATGCAACATGCACTTTTTGGGCAAGAGTATGCTAACAAAACATACTTACTGACCATTGTTTATTTTTCATGTAATTTTAATGTGTGAGTTAAAAGGGGACTCACAGACTACAAACTGTGATTCAAATTAACAGCAGAAAAGTTCTCCCATGAAGTAGTCCTCAAAATAAAGCTGACTCAGCTTCATCCATACCATTTCAAACTTGTCATTACATCTGTCTGCATTTTCAAGAAAGGAGTGACCACCTCAGATCTTCCCATTAAGTTAAATCTTCCTATAAAGACAGTAGCAGCCACAACAAAACCAACTAACATTCGGTCAAGCCACTTTCCCCTTCGTTTCTCTTTGTTTTAGCCTTGTAGCCTCAGTGTCCACACTTGGGAAGGACAGCCTACAGAATGGCCACAGGCTCAAATGCTTTCCTAGACTGAAACACGCTAATATGTCTATGAAGCATGCTACTCTTTGGCCAGAACTCAGTTCAAGCCACACCATCACAAGTTCTAGGCAAGCTTCACATGAGTAACAGAATACAGTGAAACACACTATCTCTGCCCCCAACCCCAGAAGTGCCTCAGAAACTGCAGCATTTCTGAACAGGTTACAGCAAATCCATCCTGGAAGTACCCTCAGATGGGGCAGACACTCACTGATGGAGCACATACCTGAAGACCTAGAAAAACCAGGCTTTCCAGGAATATGGTGCAAGGAACTCCTCAAGATTAAGGACCACTGAAGGCTGGCGAACTGGCTACAGCCGAGTCTAAAGGGGATCTGGAAGAAGAGACTACAGCACTTCCAGCTGAAAATGGTTAGCTACTGGAACAGCACAGTGTCTTGATCCTACCACCTGCATCACTGACCTCAGTTAACCTCATGCTCCTGGTGCTCTGCCTGTGTTTATACTGCTCTGCTGGGTTTATCTTGGCTTTGGCTACTGATTCTGCCATAGCACTACACCAGCTTCCGGACTCCCTTACTGTGCTCGTTCTCAGTTTCTCCTGGTAACCCTGCATTCCTGGATTGCCATGATACCTGCTGAATACAATGATTCTCTGGGCCTCAGCTTGCCCATGTCTTGGGCATAGCTTCCTTTTCACCTCTAAGTCAAGGATCAAGTCAGGATCAGGCATCTGCAGGATAAGTAGTCATTCTAGGATATAGGAATGTGGCAGCCTTTCTGATATAAACCAGCCTGAAACTGCAGTTAACTGTGGTCTGGTTCAGCTTTCTTCACTTATGTCACCTTCCCTTATGTATGCACTTGCAAGTGTTTAAGGTGATTTACATACATTACTTAGTTGTACTCCTTAGAACAAGTCAGTAGTACTACCATCCCCCATGCTGCAGAGGGTGAGGGTAACAAAGGCTGAGAGAGAGTTGTTTGCAAAAGGTGAGTTCATGGCTGGGATGCTACACAAACAAGGGACTATCTGATTCCTAGCTCAATGCCTTAGCTGATAAGGTACACCTCTACTGCTGGACACTTCCTTGGCATATGGATGAACTACACACCTGGTAAGAACCCTACAGCAACAGTTGAGCAAGGATTAATGAAGTACCTTCTGGATCTGGAATGGGATACACTGAAGACCAGAAACATTGCCCGTACCCCAGTCTCCCAAACTCACAAGCTAGCCTTGAGGGGCGAAAAGGGAGGGCAATATGTGGTTTTTAGCTGCTTCAGACAAGCGCAGTCTCCTGCACATTTGAGTAGAAAACAGACTTTCCTGGCCACAAGAATTAGAGATAGTTAAAGGGCTACTCACCAGCCAGGGGAGAATGAGGTCAGCGAAGTACACAAATGCTGCTCCCAGTGTGAAGCCAACAGCTACAGGGAAGAATGCAAAGACCCCAAACTTCCCAGAGTCTTCAGCCATCTCAATAGCAGGTGCAAGAAGTGACCAATACGAAGCGGCCAGCATGACCTTCATAAAAGGAGAAATGCGAACATCTCTTAGATTGCAATCACGTGGCCTTTGACTCTCCAATCAGACTGCCTGTGAGCTGAGAGCATTGTTAACATCCATGCTTCACTTATAAAACACACTCACAGTAACTACGGCTGGCTCAGACAAGGAGTATTTTTAATGCAGTGACAAGTTCAAAACAGGCAATGAAAAATCAGAGCCATTATTAAGGCAGGTTATATCCTAGATCACCCACTCATCTCCAAGTGATGGAGCGAAGTTAGGTTCTTATTCAGCAAAAAAATTAAACACTGTGTTTTGCTGGGTGCCACAGCATCTCTTTGATGAGAGGTTATTTACATTGCTTATTGTTGGAGGCATGGCACAGATAAGACTTCTTTTAAATATGGTTTGACAATGTCCAATAGCTACCCCTACGTGAGAGAAAGTCAGCATACAGAAAAATGTTGTGATGAAGCAGTCTTTAATATTCACTGACATACATACATACACTTTTAAACTATCCACTGCTTCCTGCAAGTTTGCACATGGTAAGAGCAAGTGAATCCTCTGTGCCCTTTTGGCAGATAAAAAAACCCCTGATATTACACTACTAGAAGGATAAATACTCCCTTCTATAATAATACAATGGATTTACAACACTTTCACTACTTGAATGAGTTGTGCATAGACATCATCTGCAAATGAAAACTTACTTGGATATCTGATCTGCTTTTGTTGAAGTTTCTGTACAGCTTTTAGAGACCTGTATTTTTATATACATGCACATTTAAAGTGATATATTCAAATCTATGTAGCTATTTTTCTTTGTAACAAAAGCGAAGTTGAAAGACGTGCTATTAAAAGGTAACACTGAATTTTAAACATGAACCAGGAGAGCTCCCTCATTCCGAGACAGACCACTATCTAGCTGAGAACTGTCAGCACCAAACGGAAGCGGCTCTCTGGGGGTTCAGAAAGGCGCATTTCTCAGTCCTGTGTGGGCACAGGTGCAAAGAATCAAAGCTGCATACAAGGACTAAACCCCATCACCAAACTACCTATCTTTAGGAAGCTGAGCAATAAGGACCCTGCCAACACAGTGCTCCAGTGAAGCCGTACTTTGCGCTTTGCGGTTTGACCTTAAATAGGAAGAGCCCTGCTGGATTGAGCCAAAGGGCCATCCGGTCCAACATTTTGTTTTCCAGTCGTGGCTTATCAAACTTCCAGGGATTCCAGTAAGCAGAAGCCCTTCTAATAAAGTATTAAGCAGGCCAAGAGACTCTGAGAATTATAATAAATGGGGAGGGGCCGCATCGGGTTCCTCAGGGGAAAAGGGTGGAATATAAATACAATAAATAAATATTAGTAAAAGTAGGCCTCCACGCAGGTGAGCGTCTACATTCCTGCAACACCTGTTCAGTGCCCCATTTTCTGCACCACGCTATGTTTGCACCAAAGGTTTCATTGCATCCTCCCCATTACCAGAAGAAGTAAGAGCAGAGCCTTAAAGAAATAAAAACTGCACCCACTCTAAAACTTAACCACCCCTGTTCAGGCATTCCGGAATAGGTTCTGGGCATACTTGCCCTGAAGGCACGCTAGCCTCATCCCTTTCAGTTCAGACCTTGGCGTTGCTGAACTAGCAATGTCTGAACGGGAGTTTTACTCACATCCAAGCAAGTGCCCCATGCAATTAAAAGAGTCCATTGAAGGATTTTATACCCATATCCCCTAGCAACACACTGAAGCTTCTGTAAGACATGAAATGTCCAGCATTCCTCTTTTACTGAATGGCAGCCAAGAAAGTCTCCCAAAAAGCAATTAATACATTTCTGCACTTTAACCCCAGTAAGTTTAATATACTTACTGCCCGAAAGCAAAGAGCAAAAAGAGTTAATTTCACACAAACACAACAGGAACAAGTCTATAGATAGTGTAATATTAATTCAAATACATTGGGAGAGAAGTGTGTGCTTGTATTATTTGTCCATGCCTTCAGCAAATTGAGATCATCAATTGATCTGTGAGTACAATTTTCTTATGTTTTTAACAGTCACTCCAGCACTATGAGTGGGGATGCAGATTTCCAGCATCTGATCAGTAGTAATCATAGAATCATAGAATCAGAATGGACCATGAAGGCTCTCGGGTCCAACACCCTGCTGTTACAGGACACCAGTTTACACCATCCCACTCACTGCCATAAGAAGCTTCACAAGCAGCATCTTTAGTTCATGCATAGTTATGACAATGTAAACTTCTTTCACATTGTCACTTATTTTATATTGTTAATTTGATATTGTTATTTCTGTATTTTATTTATTTTATTGTGTTGTAAGCTGCCCCGAGGCTTCGGCAAGGGGTGGCATAGAAATGTTTTAATAAATAATAAATAAATAAATAAACATCACAATGCATAGAGGTGTAGGCAGCAGAATGCTCTCAGTAGCCCCAGGGAAAAGTTCTCCATATACAGGAAATCTAATGTCTTTCTCAAATGACAGCAATATGAATCTGAAATGTGACTTTGAATGAAATGTTTGTTCTCACTTTTCTGACAAGTATCATAAACAATAAATGAATACATCTGGACTTCTAAAAATCTCTGCCTTTCGTGTGAATTGGATTCTAGCCAGAACAGTTAAAGCAGCAACAAGCACACAATATATGGCATGCTTATTCCGTTGAGAAGTAATAATGTCAAAATAACCCTTCAAAATGGATGACCAGGGACTATACAAATAGTCCATTTGTAACAGGCATTGGTTTCAAATTTCTTATGATGTTAAAGACAAGTAGCCACTGTGCTCTCTTAAAGAATTTTTGGGTTTTTTTTTTTTTTTTTAAGAAATCACTTGTTTAGGGCCTTTTCTTTCTCCTTGTGCACTAGCTTCAAATTGTTCCAATTTCTCAGCAATGACAATTTAGCACTTCCAGAGCTGTGCTGAAATGAGCAGAAATGCTCATTTCAGGAAGGTGGCAGGTTGGTGGTACTCACAAAGCACCTTCCTTCTTCACAGTGTGTTGCTATGGCAGTAACAACGAACCTGAATGCATGGTCCTGCTTTCACATGCTCCAATGGCAATGCTGGGCAAATGCAGCCTGACCTGTGGACTGTGTTGCACAAACAGCCTGCACAACTTGCGCAACAGCAATTCAGCACTTCCAGGAATACACCAAACACGAGCAAAAACACTCATTTCCAGAAAGGGGCGCAAGGGTGGAGTTCCAGCACCCCACACCTTACAAAATGAACCCTTTGTGCTCAATTTTGAGACTTGCCCTGGAAAATGCTCAATTGCCATTGGGCATGCAGAGCGAGGCAGTTTGCGCAATTGAGCTGGTGGGGCTGGTTGCGGGTGGGATGCAAGCAGTGGTGGGACCTGCACATGGACGGGCAGACTTGGATGCTTCTCTTTAAGAAACCGGCTTGCATACTGCCCACTGGTTGTGCGTGTGGTGGTTTAAATGAGAGGGAGGGGGAGGAGAAAAATGAATGTAAAGAGAAGGTGAATTCCCCCGTTACAGGTTGGGTTAAGGATCTGAAGGATCTGAAAGGAGGCTTGGTGGACTTTGTTGTTTCCTCAAGATGGAGAGAAATGTGAAGCTGGAACAAGAATATTTAAGTGACATTACTGTGTGGAAATTTAGTTTCCAATAATCATGGGGAGCAATATAAATACACATACCTTGCTCCTATTCCAAACAATCCCCATAAATCATAAATAAAGTTCATTTTATTTTCAATTTAACCCTACACTTTCTACATTTCTGAAATTACACTATGGCACACATTGAAACTTTTCTACCATCTTCCCCCAGACATTCATTCCCCTTTTTAATTTGTTTTGTTAACATAACACTCAATCAGAAGAAGGATCCTTCAAAGCTTGTTGACTATTCTGTAACTTTCAGGTTGGTATTACTTCCCACTTGCCTTCATCGTTGGAATATTTTGACATTTTGATATTCTCCTTTGATTGATTGCTTTTCACCCATGTTGAGTTCCTGTTCCTGGGAACTAGTCCAATATTCCTTTAAACTTGATGAAATCAGCTCTCCTAAAGGCCATGGTACAGGTCTGACTGTGCTCAGCTTTCCTTTTCTCCAGTGTTAGCAGTCTCAAGATGATATATCTTTAGCAAAAGTTTCTGCTAATTTCACCTCATTAACCAATTATTTCCTGTTAGTAAGGATCAGATATAAGAAAGCTGCTTCCCTTGGCCCTTCTTCCCACTTCTGGAAGATTTTTTTTTTCAATGAGGCAAGTACTTGTGAACCATTTATGCTGAGCAGACGCTGATTTCCAAAATATATCAAGTCTCTCATTGATGTTAGGTGCCTCCTCTTCGAAAGACTGGCAATCTGATCCAGGAAGACATCATCAAAGTATTTTTCGTGGCTTGGAGGTTTCTTGCAGATCCACACAATGATATTGCCATTATTACTTTTTTTCCTTTTTGCTTTTAACTCAGATGCTCTCAACCAATTTTCTACGCTCAGATTCAATGACTTCTTCACAAGTCCATATATCTTGCATATAGCAATATTCCTCCTTTCCTGTTTGATCTATTCTGTTTGAGTAAGATGTACCTTCAATCCCCACATTATAATCATGTGTCTTAACCCACCAAGTTTTAGTAATACCTATCAAATTATAGACATTTCCTGTCTGTGTTCTGCTCAGCCTGTCATCAGTATGGTGAACACTGGCATAGAGATATTGAAACCATATATCACATTCCTTGATTACACTGCCTCTTCTCACATCCTAGTGGTCCCAGTTAGTAAGGATCAGGTCTAAGGCAAGCCGATTCCCTTGGCCCTTCTTCCCACAGTAGTCATCTCCATTTTGTTCATGTTTCTGCACCTGATACTTGGCATCATGCGATCTTCTTTAATTTCTTCATCTGTCCTGCAAGATTTAATTCAAATGCTTCCTGATCAGTTTTGTGGGACATTTGCCAAACAAGTTCTTCCCTGTTCTTGCACTGAACAAGCTATCTCCTGCCAG